GCATTTAAAAAGAATGTGGGTTTATGATTGTTAGTAGGAAAGAAAGTTAACTAGCGAACTCGTGGTCCAACATCTGGAGGCTAACATGGGAACAGTGGGGGAGATACTTGATGTTAAATTGCACTAAGAACAAAGTCCTTCTGAAGCAGGGATGAGGGTCATTAGTCTGTCTCCTTTATTCCAGGCATTTGGTCATATAATACACTCTGAAAATATAGCTCTCAATCAAAAATCAGACATTCATCAAACTCCTAATAGTTCATCCTACAGGGACCATGAATATAAAAGAGGAAGAAGGCAGAAAAAGAAAGGCTTCCGGCTGCTCCCTTAATAACATGGGCTCACCATGGCAGGTAGCTCCACAGATTCTTATGCCAGACGCCCTTCCTGACGGACCATCAAAGGGTTTTGTGTCTCCTCCTGGAATCTAAGCAAGGATCTCTCGCTTGTTAGTCTAATGTGTAGATGACTAAACTTTGAAACCTCTATAGGGACTATGAATATAATATGTTCCAAACTTCAAGGTAGACCATCCAGAACCTGGAATTAATTCATCTGTGATTCAACATTTAAGCTAAAGATTTGTGCCAAATTATCATGTAGATATTTGGACATTAAACTCATATAGATTTTTCGCCTGGGCAGCATGATGAGTAGCTACTTGGAAATTTCACAATTGTCCTAGAAGTTCAACCAACGCTACAGAAAAACATGATGTGTGAATGTGCTCAAATGTTTATCTGAATCTGGTCTTGTTATTTCACTCTGGACTTAAAGGGTCAGGTAAAGGGTCTGATTGACACTGAGCTTTTTTACTTTCAATTTATGGAAAAACTCAACTGTGGGGGCGTAGAAGATGCAACATTTTCAGCAAGGTGGAATGGAAAAGATAAGAAGAGGAAACCATTCAAGAAAAAAAAAAAAACAGTTCTAAGAAATAGCCGCAATACTATTCTTAACCATTAATGCATGATCTGCTGATCTAGTAACGAGCAGTTTTTGTACATTTTGAGTTGGAAAACAGTACCAAAGACAGGCTTTTGAAGACTTGGGTGGCTTCGGGAAGTCACATGTTTACATTAAATACTTCTGAAGTGAATTCAGAAGCTACTTCATGAGATTTTTTTTCATTCAAAGTGCCTAATTGTCCATTTAGTGCTCTTTCAGATGAATTAAAGCGCTTACACCAAGCTACAAAGTTATTATAATCAACCATGAGTAACAACTTTGGGTCTTCTGATTTCAGAAGTAGCACTGAAACACAGTGTCATCTAAAAATTTAAATATTCATTTAATTAAAAGCAAGATTCTAGAAAAAGTAATGGTCATACTCACCAGGCCCATGAAGGGAGGATTAAGGTATTCACTGTGGCTGTCTTTGGTCCTTTCTGAACATAAATCCACAGCACATGCACACAGGAACCTCACATCATTTACATACAGGCTGTACTCATGTGATATGATGCATCTTCTCAGTCTGTCGCAGTCACAGTACACTGACCACGCTCCTGTCACCCCTTATCACACCTTCTGCATCAAATCATTTGGGTTTCTTTTCCTCCCTTTATATTTTTGCTATATTTTATGTTGCCTGGGATCATTTTGGAGTGGATTTTGTGTCTGAATGTGTGATTCTGTGGTTTTTAGACGAGGTGCTTCATAGTGCACCGACATGAGTCCCTTTGTGTTTCCGATCCCACCACCTCTGGGCGTGTGAAGCAGGTGTTTCCTAAACCGAGGCTAAAAGAGGAAGTAGCTTCAATTGGCTTTTTAATTTTTTTTTCAGCAGAGATAAGTAAGCAAAGTGAGAAAGAGAGAAAGACCCAGAAGCACAGAGAGTCTCAGCTCAGAACCATGAGACCCTCATAATGACTCATTTTAGACCTTTTAACTTGAACACAACACATCACATATGTTGTGTTTTTCCACAGTTCCAACAGCTGTTTCACAATAATGTCCTGACAAGTGCAATAAAGCACTTGGAACATCAAGTCAGCATCAGTCTGATGTAATGTGATGGCATTTTTAAATAGAGACCATCATAGCATGAAGCCATTGAATAATCGCGACCACACCCAGCCACTCCCCACATATACACCCAAAGAAAACCCACATCAAATGAGGAATTAATGCAACATTACATACTGAAAAAGAGAAACAGTAATAATGAAATCATAATAGTTCTTTTATGAGCAAAGTCTTTTTAATTTCTGTCTGATTTTCCAATGTAAAGCAAGTGTTAAATACACAGAGTAATCAGGAGTCTGATTCAATGTGAGTTTATTTCAGGATATTTATTTAAAGAAACACATAACAAAGGTCTCCTGATAGCCAGCATAACAAAAAAATTTCACCTAAAATTTTATACTGTCCATGCAGAAAGAGAAAAAACATGGTGTGTGTAAGCATGTGGCACTGAAACAGCTGGGGGGTTTTTTTGTGAACAAAGACTTGTTTTTAATTTAAAGTGATCAAAGTCATGAATTGTTGATGTTCACAACCACGGCAGAAGACCAGAAAGAGGATGAAAAAAAAAGAAGAAAGTTTTCTAAGAATAAAATTACACAGCAGACAGTTTACTAGGTTCACCTGTTCAGCCAAATGTTGAACAGGTGAACCAAACATGAAAATCAGCCAATCACATTGGGGGCAACATGGTGCTTTTAGGTATGTAGACATGATCTGCTGAAGTTTAAATTGAGCATCAGAATGGTGGAGAATGGTGATTTAAGTGACTTTTGGCATGGTTATTGGTGGTCTGAGTATTTCAGAAACTGCTTATGTGCTGGGATTTTGCCACACAACCATCTCTAGAGTTTATAGAGAATTGTCAGAAAAAGAAGAAACACCCAGTGAGCAGCAGTCCTCTGAGAGAAAATAAAGAATGGGCAGACTGCATTAAGCTGGTAGGAAGGCAACAGTAACTCAAATAACCACTTATCATAACCAAGGTATGCAGAAGAGCATCTCCGATGATACAACAGAATAGATGGACTACAGCAGGAGAAGACCACACCTCACCAAACTCACCAAAACTGGCCAGAAGATTAGAAAAACATTGCCTGGTCTGATGAGTATCGATTTCTGCTGCAACACTCGGATGGTACAGTTAAAACAGTTAAAAGCTGCTGTTGGTAGCATCATTTACAAACCACAGCCTACCTGAGTATCGTTGCTGACCATCTCCATCCCTTTATGAACACGGTGTACCATTTTCAGATGGCTTCTTCCGGCAGGATAACTCGATATCCCATATTTGAGTCAGCAGGTGGAAAACTTTGTTTCAAATTTATAATATTGTGACTTTATTCTTATATATACACATTCATATACACACACATGTATATATGTGTGTGTGTGTATATATATATATGTATGTGTAAATATATGTGTATGTATGTATGTATGTATATATACATATATACAGATTTCTCTCTACACACACACACACACACACATCTCTGACTTCTTCTGGATGTTCTTAAAGTGTTTAAAATCATTGTCACAAATAAGTGAGAAATAAATGAATGACACATTTTTAATTTTTCGTTTTAATTAATGCTTTCTGATACAGCACGAGGTAGCCACTCGAAGTACATTTCCAAACCCTTCACCCAAACATATAACCCCTGTTTCTTTAACATCACAAGCTTCTGGAGCCTCATGATCACCTTTTCTTCAGGTCCAATGTATTGGTGGGAGGAGGACGGGTGGAGGTGGATGGGACGGATACACATGTCTGAGTAACCAGGGAGATGTGTTGGGAGATGACAGCACAGATCTGAAAAACCAAATCTGAGCAATGACGCGAACCAAACACACGGAAAAAAAAAAGTCCAGGATACATACACTCATCTCCTTACACTCCCCCTCCCAACTCCTTCATTAGGCCCACTTAAAGCTTGTGAGATGTTGCTCCGCCCTCTCTGAGAAAAAAAAAAGAAAAGATAATCTGTGGAGAAATCCCCCTGAAACCTTTCGGTTCATGGGTATAAGACTTGCGTCCTCTCACTGCATTCATCTGAGAACAGAGCAATGTGTTGATGTCACCGTCACTGATTAAAAACTCTATATACATGTGTATAACACACACACACACACACACACACACACACACACAAATGCCCCTTTATAAAGTCAGTGCAGCATTACAGTCGTTCAGTCTGTTAAAGGCACCTGAGTTTAGCTCCAACTCGAGCTCACCAGTGTATACATAACACACACACACACACACACACAAACAGTTATTTCCCTTGCTCTGTTAAATAGATGCGATAGCACACTGGCCCGGGTGTAAAACTGTTTGCTTTCTTTGAAGGAGCTTCTGACAAATACATTCAAGATGTGTGAAAACGGGTTCCTGGAGTCTCTCGACGTCTTTGATGCAGAGAGGAAATCTGTGGAACAGCCTCTTGTCTGGCTGCTACAGACAAGAGCGCATGTCGATTAAAAAAAAAAGAAGAAAAACCACTAATGAGGGTGTTTTACTGGCTTTTACCTGAAGAGAAAAGGCTTCGCTGTCCTCACGAACACATGTCACTAAGCTGGGTCTTCCTACAGTCGCGCCAGTGTGGTGGGGAAAAAAAAGCCAGCATGATGCTCACACTGCCCTGCAGGAGTTAAATATTGTTGTGTAGTTTGTGGGTTACAATCACTTTTAAAGTGTGGCTTTGCTCCAGTTTCACTGCCGGCGTTTGTCCTGATTAATGATGCAGCGATTAGTTGAGCAACAAAACAAAACAATTTTTTTAAAAATAGCTGCTGGCATTTTTTTTAAACCTCGAGAAATTGCAAACTTGCTACACACGAAGTGAGTTTTCACCTCCGTAAACAGCAGTCAGCAAATGGATGTGTGAGAATCAGCTGCCTTTCTGACGGTCTGCAGGTGATGCAGCATTGGTGTGGTTTTAATTTGCAGCTGTAAATAACTAAAGAGCCAAAATGTGCTGATGCTGATCCTGACTGTAAGCATGGAGGGAACATGTTTAGGGTGGGTGATCCCTGAGAAAGTTTGTCATGTTCATATTCATATTGGTGTCACAAAAAGACATAGATCACACTGATGTTTCTGTATCTCTTTGGAGTTCTCTATACAGTTATTTTGCATCTTGTCATGCTCATTTTGTGCTTTTTAATAATGGTTTTGCATCTCTCTGTGGTTCTTTAAAGTATCTTTGTGTTTATCATCTCGATCACTTTAATTACTCAGAGGATCTGCAGGGCACACAGAGGAATCCTGTGATCCACAGAAACACCAGGACTGTGCTCCATCAAGACGATTATTTACTTTCACCTTGTTTCATCCAGCCACAGAATGCATATAAAAGATGGACGTAACCTCTGGATCAGCCAAGCAAAGCCAAAGTGGAAGTGCCTTAAACTGCAATATTTCTAGTAGCTTGCAGCAGGCAACTTAACTGGTAAGTCAAACTGGTCAGCTTTAAGCATCACAAAAGTGACGTCACCATGGCCACGCCTAACTTTTACATAAAGCATGTGTGTTTATAAGAGGCTAAATATTTTTAAAATTTGACTTTAAAACAATCAGCAGCTCACACTGGAGAAGGTAGACTCTAAAACCCTGAACTTATTATAATAATGATACTGGGTTTTTTGTCGATCGACTAACCGCTGCAGTCATTTTTTGTCTCCCTCACACACACACACACACACACACACAGTATCTAAGAGTGCTCCTGTCCCTGACTCTGGCTCTCCTGAGTGTCTTGCCCCCAGCCGAGGCCGTTGATGGGCGCGTGTTTGTCCCAGCTGTCCGTGTTGTGCCCATGCTTCCTCTGGTGGCGTTTGTAGTTGTCCCAGTGGCCCGTGGTGTAGCCGCACTCGCCGCATGCGTACGGCTTCTCGCCCGTGTGCCGCAGCATGTGCCTCTTCAGGTTCATGCTCTGGTTGCAGGAGTAGCCGCAGATGGAACAGTGGAACGGCTTGGCGCCCGAGTGGATGCGCTCGTGACGTCGCAGGTTAGCCAAGTTCCCGCAGGCGTAGCTGCACGACGGGCACTGGTAAGGCTTCTCGCCTGTGTGCACACGCAGGTGCCGCTTGAGGTTGTCGAGATGTGAGGAGGTGTAGGGGCAGTGCGGGCAGCGGTGAGGCTTCTCCTCTGAGTGGACGTGGGAGTGGCGGGCCAGATGGTTGGGGTAGTGGGACAGGAAGGGGCAGTGAGGGCAGCGGTACAGCTTGTTGCTGCGCTGACCGCGCCGGGATCCCCGAGACACGTCCCTGCTGCAGGGAGCCCTCGAGTTGTCTTTGGAGCAACGGCGGCAAACCTGGAGAAATAACAGAGCACACAGTGAGAGGAAACCTTAGGAAACATTTCCTGTGGACAGATCATACAATCAAACGGTTATTAACCAGAAT